CAGAGTGCCCCAAAGAATGATCTGAATTTTAGGGGCTAGCGCCTCATGTCACTCAGAGTGCCAGGATCACCTGCCTCGTCTAGTTTAACATTGGTTGCTATGTTTGAGTTCTTTCAAAGGGTACCTTCACTCATTTTTTTATTCTAACTACTTCTAAACACCAAAAAGTCATTCATAACATGATTATAACCTTGAATTCCTAATTCAAATTCAAGCTAGAGTTAAAGAGCTAAGTTTATGAGAATGCTTTTAAATATTCTATGAAAGTCATTTTGAGTTCTGTTGTGGAGTATTCTACAACTTCTAGTAACTTGTTCCAAGAATCGACCAAGTGAGTATAAGAATGATGACAATGTATTCATGAGTCTACTTTTTCATCGCGATATCCTTCATATCATGAACCGTAAATGTTGAATTCATAATTCACATTCAATAGAGAGTTAAGGGTAGAGTTCAAGAAAGCCCTTGAGTTCCATTGTGAAACTTTTGAGATCAACTATTGATTTGAAATAAGTTTTGAAGAAGTAAGTAAGAGAATGATAAGAGTCGTATACATGAGTTCATATAGTTATGTAGACCTCTGAGTTGAAACGTTCATGCCCATAAATTCTACATGGACTCTATGAATTGAGTATCATTGAGAGGAGTAGTTTCTTCAAGTTGTACGTCGTGAGTATTGAGTTCCTAATCCTATTAGAGATTATACTTCTAATCATGGGACTATTACATCTTACCATGAAGTCCTTGAGTTGAATTTTTCATGCCCATAATTGCGCATGAACCCTATAAGTCGAACGGTCTTGAAATGAGAAGTATCTTTGAGTTCTTGAGTTGAGAAGTTCAAGCTCATAATGAACCCTCTGAGTTGAGCATTCTTGAAATGCGTAGTATCATTGCATTTCTTGAGTTCCAAATATTGATTTCTATCTATGGTTAAGAAAACCTTGCATTGAGTTGTTCACGACCAAATTCGGCATGAACCATATTTTATGAAGTCTTTTACATTCGTTTTAACTTTTTTTAAGACTTACGCTTTGAGTTAAATAAAGAGTAAGAGTAAATTTCATTTCTTCAAAGGTTATACGGGAACTAAGTTAACAATGATTTCCAAGAGAGTTTTTAAGCTAAGTTTTGAGTAGTAATATCAAATCAAAGAAAGAGTGCTTTTTTTAAAAAAAAAATAAGCATAGAATAATTTGGGAGTAGTATTGAGCACCGATATGAGGAAGCGAGTTCATAATAAATTGACAGTGTGGGCAAGATTTTGTATTCCATGAGAGATTTTAAGCTAAGTTTTGAGTAGTTTTATCAAATCAAAGAAAGATTTTTTAAAAATAATATGAGCATAGTTTATTTTGGGAGTAGTATTGAGCACCGATATGAGGACGCAAGTTCATAATAATCTGACAGCGTGGGCAAGACGTTGTATCATCACTTAGGCTCATAGTGGTGGTTGTTAGTTAGAGAAACTCCCATAGAGTTATGTTGTATTTTTATATACACTTGAGTATTATTGTATTTTTGAATACATTGAGTTGATATATACAATTTTACAGTTTTCCATATATATTGCATCTTTTACTACTGCTTTATCCTTGAGTATCGTGATTTGAGTCTTTCGATTTGAGTATCTTATCCTTGAGTACTTCTAAGTTGAGTAAGTTTGAGTAGTTGTAAGTATTATTGAGTATTCCTTGAGTTGAGTAAGTTTGAGAAGAGGTAAGTATGTTTTATTTTTTATCAAGTTTTAAGCTTCTGTTATGCTTTAGAATTCCCCTTATATGCTTGTACATTCCACATACTGAGCCATTCAACCTGATTTTTTCATGACGCACATTCAGGTATTCGAGATCATCAATAGGAGCTTCATTGATACAACATGGAGTTTGAGTTAGCTATGGTGAGCCTTCTTGCTTTCAAAAGATTTCATTTACTTTTATGTTTTGTTAGGATGATGTGGGTCTTGTCCCGACTACCATCTTTGTCATTTAGAAGCTTCATCGATTGACAGTAGAGTTTCAGAAGTCTGTCCTTTTAGTTTATTAAATGTTTTAAAGACTTAAGTTGTCTATTTATGGCGAGTTGAATAATTTATTTTTATTCAGAGTTTTCATTTGAGTTTCATGAATTTTTATTCAGTTTTTAAGCTTTTTATGCTTAAGTTAGTCTTCCTCTTGAAATCATCCATGATGAGGATTCGCTTGGGGACCATCAATGGTTCTTGAGTGTCGGTCATGTCCAGGGTGTAGGCTCGGGTCGTGAAATAAAAGTACCATTTGAAAGAACTTAGACGGTCCAAACGAAAAATAAGGGGTGGCAGCAAGCAACCCAGACGCACTGAGTGGTGTAGAGCGCCAACCACTGAACTACATAACACATGTCCTGGCGCACTAGTGGGGCGGCGTGACAACCAGTGCTCAGATCTCCCTGACGAATTTTCGTTCTCGCTTTCTGACCCAAGTTAAGTACGCGATAATCTACTTAAAAATCTCCCTCAAATCACTAAAATTCATCTTAAGAATTCATCAAACCCCCAAAAATTAAGATTCAAAATGAAATTTCAAGAAAACTCATCAAGAACTCGAATCCTTCAACCTCAAGAACAAAATTTACATAAAAGTAACATGATTGGCGTGTGGGTGGATGAACCCAACATTATGAGAACTCACGTACCTCTTAGAGATCAAACCCTTGGCGAAACAACCCTTGATCCGCAAGAAATCTCGATGAACGTTTTCCTCTTTTCTCCTTTTTTCTTGAACTTTCTTCTAAAAACCTAAGCGTCTTTGGGATTGTGAAAACTAAACTAAATCAGATTTGACCCCAAAAATAGTACTAAATTTGCTTTAAGCTGATGGGGTATCGAAAAGACCAAACTACCCCTCACTAATTTGGGTAACTCTTTCTAACTAGATAGGCCGACTTCAAATGGGCATATATCCCTCATATGAGCTCAAAATTCAGTGAACTCGGTGGTGTTGGAAAGAAAATTCCAAGACCTTTCATTTGATATCTTATGGGCCACTAACTCATCATATACTGAAAGTTATGGTCGTTCAAAGTTGACCCAAAACTCACAGATCTCTTATACTACCATCGATCGACAGAGCGGAACGACCAGAAAAAGAAGTTAAGTTAGAAAGCCGTATGATAGGTGGTAACTATCTTGTACGGTTCGGGGGGTAATCGGCGTACTCCGATCAGTGGATCTTTTTTAATTGATTCTTTTATCACACTGTGATATTTTACATCTTTGAATGGCTCCATTCGAGAACAATTGGCTGCTGACAAAATTATCAACGACTGACATTCCGGTTGCAGCAGCTTTCAAATGGAGGATAATTCCGCTGGAGGAAGGGCGGTGGATTCAGGGTCGGGGTCGGATAATTGGCAATAATACCTTGAGAAAAATAGATCACTATAGTGCTCATATAATTAGATTTTTGTAGAATAAAATCCAGATAATTCCAATTGGCTCCAACTGGTGCATCATACTAGGCAATTAGACAAAGTAATAATTTCAATGGACGACAAAAAGTTATAGCTTACAAGACAAAAGATTGACAATAGCATTAAAACTTGTATGCCACAAGAAAATTTGTACTTTTCTACCAGGCACGTCAATTGCTTACATCCAGGTAAGGACAAACTTTTTCCATTTTTGTTTTGTTTTATTAATATTATTGTTTTATAATAGTGGAAGTTCAACATGATTCCAAGAATCAAGGAGTACTTCTGCTAACAATGTAGTTCAAATTAAGAGTTGGAAAAATTTCTCACTGCCACATCTTACGTGAACAAGAAATTGGACACTTGATTGCCTTTCCTTTTCACAGAAAACAAATTAAGAAAAATAGGTCACCACCACTGTTTCTTTTTTGGTCTTTGTTTTCAATAATATACCTATCAAAACTCGTGAATTTTATGAATTTGTAAAGCTATTTTGAAATCAAATTCACCACTAACACTTCATAAGCTTTTCACATTTCTTGAGGGAAAATTTTTCATGATATATACTTTAGTTAACTATACATATGTAAGCATGACTCTAATACCAATTATTGGAACATTATATATACATCAGAAGTATATCAGAATCGTACCACTAATATAAATAATAGACAACACATAGTTTAGTTGAAACACATATAATCATGCTAGATTACATATTCTTTATGCTAAAATACATATAATCATGCTAGAGCACATAAACTTTTTGAAATTTAGTTCAAGAATTACCTCTTGAAGCGCGAGCAAATACCTTCAATCGTATCCACGAGCTAGTCAGCAAACTGGACGAGAGTTATGCGGTCTTCTACACTGATCCCTCGTTCACTTCTGAATTCTTAATATTTGGGTGGGCAAGTATCGTATATCAAACTTCTTGTTTCAAGGGTTAGAAGAATCTCTATTTATAGATATCTCTTCCCAGTCGAACGAAGAGAGGGAACAACATGTTTTTCCTTAGAATAGAAAAAGACATGTACTTCTCCCTTTTCTTATCACTCCCTCCGTCCCATTTTATGTGGCACCATTTGACCCTGCACGGAGTTCAAGTAATAAATGAAGAATTTAAATTGTTTACCAAATTGTCCTTTTAAAGTGGACTCACTTTTCTCTCTCCTCATAAATGTATTAAAGGACTATTTAAAATTAAGTGAGATCAACAAGGGTAAAAGAGGAATTGTATCTTTAAATACTTAACATACAAGAAAATGTGACATTCCTTTTGGGACTGACCAAAAGGAAATGGTGTCACATAAAATGGGACGGAGGGAGTAATAGAAAAAGTCATATACTTCTCCATTTCCTTGAAATAGAGAAAGACACTTCTCATTTTCCTTATAATAGAAAAGACATATACTTCTCCCTTTTTCTCTTTATAATAGATTTCGTGTTCAAGTTAAATATGAACATAGTAGGGACCATAATCAATTACTGAGACTTCGTATTATGAAAATAATTTCAAATAATTAATTTGAATTATTTTGATTAGTTACAAATCATTCACTAAAACATAAACCGTTATTTAAGACCAACATTTAGGGATGAGTTAATAATCTTGTCTCAAAAAATACTTGTATTGGGAAGAGATTATATTTTCGTCCCGGATTCTATATGTTATTATGAAGGTACAAAATCTAGTCCTTAAAGAAATTCCAATCTAGTCTCAAATTCTAAATATGGTGGTGAGAAGCGGGAAAAAGTGAATTTTTTAAATCTTAATACAAACTCATCAGGCGCTAAAAAATTACATCATTAAATATAATTCATGAAAACTCTATATTTTCAATACAAGACAATTAAGTCACTTCATATTTTACAGCACATAAAAGCCCTAAATTTATTTCATCAAAAATCTCTGCAGCAGCTGTGCAAATCGCATCTCTCTGGGAAAACTGTGCTAATACTCTCTGATTTAATCCGCTCTTTCCCAAAATAAAGCACGGGTTGCAACTCAACTAGAGGACTTTGTCTATGAGTTGATTTTCATCAAATTCATTCTGAGGTATGTCTTCTTTTAAGCGTTGATTTTTTTTCTTTATTCTCTTAGCGTTTGTTTTGTTTGAGTTACTCTTTATATATTTCTTCACCAACTGGTTGTTTTCTATAGGTGTATAACTACAGAAGTGTTGGGATTCCTAGTTGATATTCTTGTTTTTGAAGTATATGCAAGTTTGTAGCATGAACTTTTCTTATTGTATTGTAGATTGACAATGATGCATAGAGTTACCTAATGCCTAAGTGAAGGAGCAGTAACTAGTAATAAGAACACAACTTTTTCATGTCATCTGCATCATAAGATTTTTTCACTACAATTTGAACAAACTCTTCCTATGAGAACCAATCTAGTTCTTCTTGCTCTACTTACTTTTTTTTAGTGTTGTAAGGGTCTGACAATATCTTGAGGTTCTTAGAGAAAATATCATAAAACTTGTTATAATTCTCTTTGTTCTCTGCAATTTCAAGGAATAGTCCAGCACAATTCTTCACAAATTTCTTGAAAATGACCTTAAGGATATAGTTCTGCAACAACATGTTCTGGATTTGTTAAGAGGAAGTTCTTCTATAATGCCTTTCACAAAGCTCAGATATTCAGGCATCAGCTCCTAAAAGTAATTTTTTATAATAATTAGACTATTGGAATATGTAACAATCTGTTAATGAGACACTTGGAGTAAATAATTCCTGACCATGATATGTGTTCATTTAAAATATATCTGTTAAGTCATCTTAATATGCAAAAATTGGATCACATATCGGAAATTATTCGAGTTAACAACGCAGTCCATTTTATGACTAGGCATTCAGACCTTTTATCATGGTTCTTAACTGCCTTCTAATGTCTACAACATCACATTAAATAGCTTCTGAAAAATATAATTCTATAGGAATAAAATCACTTCTATTTTTCATCGTCTTTGTTACAAAATAAGAGTTAATTATTGTTTATGTTATTGTTATTAACTTTACAAATATTTTCACTATTGTAGGATAACTTTGGGAGTGTTGACAAGAAGAAAGAAATGAAGTGGTAAGATAAGGTACATTTTTGTTCCAAAAGATTTCAGGTATTTCGAGTAATAATATGAAAATTTTAATTTACAAAATTGCACTTCAACTTTTATCTTTAAGAACATGATTTTTATTGCAAAAACATCAAATATTTTGCAACCTCTCCCTTGGAATCTCCTTATTTCTCCTTATGTTAGGAAGGGAACAATTAAGCTTTGTTTTCTCAAGGATATTCTCAAATCAGTAGATGCTAGTTTCCTTGGGTATATGAATCATGTTCTTTAAAAGGATACTCGCATTAGCACAGTAGATCATAACGATGGAGAATTTCTTTAGGTCTAAGAGTATCTAGAGTTTGAATGTTATTTCAGTTTATTGAACCCTAATTTCGTTGAGAATATGCATTTTAATAATTATTTTAATCTTACGGTCTAAGAATACACGCAAGAAGCAAAAGAAAATCAACATATCAAATAAAGTTGGCAATTCCTTATCATATTGGTAGCTATAGCCTATCCCAGAAATTATATATCAACATGCACTATAAAAAAAAATATTTCTGGTCTCTATTGTGCATAGCTACATAAGCTTGCGTAATAAGTCATATAGAGTTGAAAATGTAGTAGAAAGAATCAATTGGTTATGTCTCAATTTTACTTTCTTGTCTTTCTTCTCTACTTTCCATTTCAAGCACCATTGTTGGTAACTGTTCTTTCACTTCATAATTTTTAGTTTTCTGCCTACAGATTTGTTTTCTTTTTCTAAAGAGAATAGTTATAAATTTATTTGACATGTTTAATTGATTTGTTGGGTTTTGTAGTCATTTTCAAATTTCTTCGACTTTTACCTTGTATAGTCGCTATTCCACATCTTCATCTTGCTCTATTTTTGACATATTTCTCTACACAAATATCAGAAATGTTGTTGTTGTTGATTCATTCACGGTAATTTTACGAGCAGCAGTTGCTTAATGGAGGAACCATTAGCTAACTAAACTTCTTTACACTGCTTCACAATATCTTGTTTCTCTATATTCACATTTCTCGGCATAACTACCAGGCATAATGTTGTTGTTTCTTGCACATTCAATTTTAAAAATATCATATGCTTAACAGAGGATTCATAAGTTTTCTAGAATTCTTTTCATTGTTGCACATCTTCTTACTGCTCGATTTTCACACACTTCTATGTATAATTGTGAGTAACAAGACTTTCTCTATTCTATTTTATTTTATTGCATTAGAATAGCTAATAGATAAATGAATACAAACCCCACTTGATGAGTGCTAGCTACAATATGTTGTGTTCTACTTTTAGAGTATTTCCGTTGGAATTTGTACACATCTCAACCTTGTAGGTACTTCTGAACATAAGATACATTTATACTCGCCCATCAGGTGTCCTACATTTCTACTCACTACAATCATTTTTCTCGCTCAATACTCTCTATAGGTTGTATAAAACAATCAAGGTGTTTTCTCTAATCATTTGTGATCCCAAAAATGATAAAAATCAATTCTGCCGCCATAACATTTGTATAGCTTTGAACATAGAAAACATGAAACACCTCAAGCTTATGCATCGAGGCTTTCGTAAGCTTCGGTAAAACTTAAGTAGCAAAGCATAAAACTACCATCAGAACTGATATCAAACTCTAGTCAGCTTTATAGAGCATCTAAGGCTACTGTCTACACAACTCAAGTAGACTTTTGTGTGATCACAAACCCTCCCTAAATGATTTTTATGTTAAATCTTTATAATTTCTTATTAGTGCGTATTTGAGTTCTCAATTTTTTCAACCCAAGTCCTCTTGAATATTTTAATTCTTTCAACTCATGTCATTTGGATATTCTAAAGTCTTTATAAATTTTTTGAGTGCCTACGGCCTGCATTTATCATTTAAATACATTTTTAAGCTGAAGTGAACTCCCATTTAAATTTTTAACCAAATATTATTTAGTTGTGATTCATCATAAAAGATGTTTTATTCTTGGTTAATGTATCTCAAAGTTATCTAAATTTGAACTCTCAATTTGGTTAAACGAAGAAGGTTAGGCTAGGAAACGAGCTAACGGGAGGCAACATTAGATCTTTTTCACAATTGTTCAATTTTTATTAAGCAAGCTCTTCTTTTTATTTTCTGCAAAGCTGCATAATGGCATAAATTTGATTTTAAAATTCCTCCTTGCTGTAATACTGTAACCAGCAGCTCCTTTGTTTTAGAGTTTGCTTTAAGCTACTCTTTTTACTATTTGTTGCCGTTGCGTTGTTAATCAAACTTGTCTTTTATGCTATTAATTCAGTCCATTTATTTCTATTTTCTGAACATATATTCCACTTTGATTAATTTGTATTCATTCCATAAATGATCATACGTAATTAAGCTTGATTTTATTACTAATATATTTAAGAAGCTTAATTAAATTTGTTTTTTCTTTCATGTGCAATACTTAACAATATATTACGATATTGTCACAAACCAAAATCTTAGGTCATGATAACACCCAGTAATATTCCAACCGTAGATAAGTTGTACCCATGATTGTAATCACAAGTAATTAAGAGTTATCTAGTGGAAAAGAAACATATGAAAAATAACGCACAAATATCAAATATCAAAATAGAGGAAAAGATAGAATCTAAATGTACATAATCAATCCCCAAGACATGTATCAATCAGCATTTGGGTTAAATCAAAATAGGAGTATATACATACATACATATATATATATATATATATATATATATATATATATATATATATATATATATATATATATATATATATATATACTAGATGGGGAAGGCCCGTGGCAAGCACGGGCCCAATAGTCAAAATATCAGTATTAATGAATCATTGATGATAATTGTCGCAGAAGATAAGATAATGTGATATGTTATATAGTATTAGAGATATTCAAAATATATGTACAACTGATATTGGACATCAAGATGATCCATATTAACTAAGGTAATAAAATCAAAATATTTTTTTGACATATGAGATCAACATGTGATTGTTTATCATATCATATATGTAGAGGATGCTGCTGTTCATTTTCAGTTGTTGATCTTCTTCATCATTCCCAAAACCATAGCATAGGGAGTTGTTAGGGGTTCCTGAGAAAATTGTTAGTGTTAGTAAATTTAGAAAGTTGAGTTGTTAATGACAAAAGTGAAACCGTTCAAAAAGTATATATGACAAATGTGGGATATAATATTACCAGCAAAGCTAAATAACGAAGGCTTCACAAAAAGTTAACTGATTCATTTCCTGGACAAAATGTTAACTGATTCATTTCATTCTCCCTATTGAGCAAACTTGAATCGACTAAGAATCCAAAAACTTCATTAAGCAAAAGTCACAAAATCAAGTGAGGAAGTTCCTGTAATTAGACAAATTAAGGTATGTTAAAAAGTGAAAATACAATATTCAAATTCATATCAGTTGGATGTGTCATTTCATGTATGTAAATAGGCAATAACACATGAGATAATTGGCAGAAGTTGAGAAAAACTCATTGTACAAACATAGGATTGCTTCAGATCCTCACTATTTAGGGGTGAGAAATTCATATTTTCCAGTGACGTAAGGGAGTTCAGTGAAACTATACCAAGATGCTCATGTAAGTAATAATGTAAAGTTCGCAGAAATTAAACTGGAAAATGGTACAAATATTGAACTCAATAAATGTTGGGAAGATATATGTTATGCTATTGCAGAAGCTCATCACTTGATTTACATTGTTGGGTGGTCTGTTTTTCATAAGATTAAACTATAATTATTCAGAATTCTGAAGGCATATCAAAAACAAAGATGCAAACAGAGGCATGGTATACCTGATTTTTGGAAAAAATGCAGCAGTTGTCTAACTCAAAAGTGCAGCAAAGTTTATACATAGCCAAACCATTGGCTCAAATATAGCCAAAAGTGTAGCAAAATTTAGCTTGACACATAGCAACAATAGACAGAAATTTGATCAGAAGTGTAACAAATAGTTTAGTCTAAAATTCAGCAGTAATATGATAAAAAGTCAGCAACCCATGGTGTAAAATACATCAAAAAAAATGGAGCAGAAAAAGATTAAAATGCAACAATGATTCAACCTCAAAATGAGGTATCAACCCATAGCAGCCAACCTCATCAAAGGCAACAATTAATTCTCATCAAAGACAGACAGGGCAGACACATTATCTCTATTTTTTTCCATTCCTGTTTCAAGTAGTTCATGATTTGTTAAACTAATTTACAATTTATCAATGACACTCTTAAATTTTATTAAATTTCAAATACTTGTAAATGTTTTGAACTGTTAATCATTGTGATTTATAGTTTGATTTTGAATAATAAATGTGATAATCAGATGTAGACTGACCTTTTACAGTTTTTTTGTTGGTGTGGGTGGTTCAAATTTCAGAGTTGCATTTGAAGAACCAGCTGCAGTAGTTGTTTCTGTCACCTCCATCTCACTTATCTCCAAAGGTCTTATCTTTTTGGAATTCCTATCAATAGTGGTTGGTGAAGTATGTTGCTTTTCCATGTAGGAAATAATGGAGTAAGTTGCTTGTGTGTTGTTTGAGGTACCCCAAGATGACTTCCTTAGCTGAATTTGAAATAGTTTGTTGGACAACATCTCATGGACATGATTAACATGCAATGATTGCCTCTGTAAATGTAAAGAGTGAGAAGAAACTCTTTGTGACAATAGATGTGTTGGCTGGAATAAGAGATCACCTTAGCACAGGTTATGTCAAATATGTCTTCCGCTGTCATGGAGAGTAGTTTTTCTCCCAGTTCACCAGAGATAGATGTTGTGACTGTAGCAGTACCGTCAGTAAGATCAATTTGAAAGATACACCTGAAATCATGATAAGTTAAAAACATGAGTGTTTGTTACTTTTCGTTTTTCTGACTTTTTGAGATTTGATTTATTATTATAGGGACAATTTATGATTCATTCTTAATACATATCAATAATGTTTGTTGTTATGTGTGTGATCTATTAATTTTAGAGGTTGAAGGACAACCTTCTACCAAACAGTGTTTTCGATTTTGGCACTTACATAGTTAAAGTATTACTTAATGCTTCTGTATATGTATAGGTCTTATATTATTTTTTCAAACATATAATTGTACTAAATGAAGATATCTTAAAGTAAGACTATTTAGAACTACTAAGCAACTAATGTAAAGTCAATTTGGTATAAAGTTGTCACTATTTTCTGTTATAAATAATACACATCAGTGAACATTGCCATATAGACGGGTTATCAATAGCACATAATATGTATTCTTAAGTAGATATATCAATTGAACAAAGACGAAGGAGAAGGAGAAATACCGAGGAAGTAATGTTGTTTTCCGATTGCATTTTGGACAATGAAAATCCTTTCTATCTTTTGTGCGCTTCTTTTGTTTGCATCCTGAGCATTCAAGTACACAAAACTCTTGCAATTCATCTGATATGGCCATTTCTGCTTCAAGATAGAATAGTCCCATCTGTTGGGAAATATCATATACATAATACATGTTGAGTTACTAATGAATAAATAAAATTTGTTTTTATTATTTAATAAATATGCAAACTCTTAAATTATCAACTTGAAGTATGACTTACAGAAGTTGGTGATGAAATTTGTTCAATAAAGACAACTTGTTGGCCGACAGGAGTCAATACCATGAGAGGGGCAGATGAGCTTGTTGAGGTTTTGTTTGACGCACGACTCAACAACATTGATTTGTTTTCTTTTGCCCTATTGTTACAACAAATAGTTGGTTTAATAGGTTCTTTAAATGCAAATTAAAGCTAGAGAATAGTGATGGAATGTTAGTACCATTTGGTGAGTTCTATTGCCTGTGGGTAATTAGGAGCTACGCGTATTGTTGAATTGTACCTACTCTGCAGTGACAACCCTGTACGACAGAAAGCTTGCATAACGTTTTGTTATTATATAAATTTTTTTGGTAAAAAGTTCAATGCATGTACCTTGAAAAGTAGAGATTCCTATATTCCTGCCAAGGATTACAATAAGATTCATTTCTTTTTCCATTTTTGCTTCGATATCCTCGCATAGAGTGAGGAGAAATTGATTTTTGCTGAAGTACCATGATAACGACCAGATGATAAGTGATGGTACGATTAATTAAACAATAAAAGTGTTTACTTATTCAAAATATTTTCATTAAATGGGAAAATATAAGGCAAAATGGGCTTACTGATTGTCACAAATGATAATTTCTCGCGTGATCAGTTTCAGCGTCGTCGGCGGAGATCACAGGCTGAACAATTACAGATCGGTGACAATGCTGCATCCGGCGGAGGATGAAAACGGAACGGTGGTGGTGGAATTGTACGTAGTAGATATTCCAACAGGGAATACAAAGGAAGAAATGTGTGTATTCGTTGATACAATTGTACGTTGCAATTTGCAATCGCTAGCGCAAATCGCAATTGCAAATCGCTAAAAACACGCCCTACAACTAATTTGTAATCATGGTGACTATTTAATTTTGTATATTTCTTTTAGTCCTTTGATTTTTTTTTTTGGAGTGATAGATCGATGAACTACCCACCAAAAACTGAGGGAGGAAACTTCAAAACAACCTGCTGAAAGGACCCATAAGAATGTATCAACAGACCATCTGAAGAAGATAAATTGCACCATATATAAGACAGTTAATGGTTGTCATGCATATCGAAATCCAAATTAGCTTGAATAATCAACATGTAAATCGGCTTCATTTGGAGAAAAGCAGACGTGTATATAGTTAAGTTAAACTTAATAAACATAAACCTTGACGAGGATGCCATTCATTGCATAAATGCATTAAAATGAAACCAGAAAAAACTCCAGACAAAACTACATACAATTGTGTTAGATAAGTATATACTAAATTAATTCATGTCTATTAAACGTGTTGTGATGTGTACTTTGGAATTAGAAAGGTACGCATTACAATAATCATGTCGTTAAACTTGTTTGCTGTTAAATTTTCCAAGTCCAGAAAAAAAGAGAACCAAGTTTGTACCATAATGATCCAACTCCTAAAAGTCCAAATGTTTTATCAATACTATAAGTTGTTGGCATCCGTTTTACCTTCAATCGCATCTTATTCATACTTTTAGCTGTCAAGTGATAATTTTTTACCTTGAGCCAATTTTTAATAACATTAGTTAAGACATGGGTGCCTATAGATTTTAATTTCAACAAAATATTTGTTTAAACATTTCTGGTTAGAATTTTATGGAGAAGAAGAGGTGTTTGTATAATAGTTGCGCATTTTAAGGATAATTTTCTTCTTATTTTTAAATAATGTTTGAAGTTCTTCCCCTTTCATTGTTTTATCTGTCATTAGATTTAAAGATTTTCGATATCTCAATATTTGGCTCTGTAAAACTAATGTTATTAGTTAAATAATTGTGCTTGTTTGTCTTATTCTCATTCTAATTTTTATTTCGTGAACGCTACATTGATATTTCTCAATGTATGCCCTTTTTATCCCACTTATCTATGTATTTTTTCCATATTGCATTAAATTGTAAATTAGTTTGACAAATCATGAACTAATTGAAACAGGAATGGAAGAAAATAGAGATAATGTGTCTGCCCAAGAAAGAACTTCTGAGAGAAATTTGCGTCGTCGTACCAGATATGCACAGATGTCACCAGAGAGAAAGCAATTATTTTTATCCGAGCTAAGAGAAAAAAGGGCTGAGTCAAAAAGACAAAAACACCTTCATCAATCAAATACTACTGCCGCTCTTACAATCAGTAGTTCGTCATTATCGCCTCAGGAAGGTTAGCTGAGCATATTCTTATCTTTCTTCTATCTTCTGAATATCTACAACTATAGTTAGACGCTACTACTCTTACTATAGCTATTTTCCTCATTTTGTAGTTGAAGCTTCTGAAGCCACAAACCTACCAGTTACTTTAACTACAGGACATCATCAATCAAATAGTGTTGGCGCCCTTACAATCAACACTTCTTCGTTATCTCCTCAACAAGGTTAGCTAACCATATTTTAGGTAAATCTGTTGTAAAAAAAAGCAAAATTCTGTTAGTAATTTTCACGTATAGGATCAAACATAATGGACGCGTAGTGCACTTACGAGAAATAATAGCTGAAATTTTCCTATTGGTTTGGGGGTTATCGAATCTTCACAGTTCACATGAGTTGCTTCTCCTCTGCCTTTTTTTCGTTTGATCTGCTAAGAGTAAAATAAAACAAAAATTTTCATATGAGGTAAATATTAAAAAAGGAGAATATTCATGAGATTAAATGTAATGAGCTCACTTGTTCATCTTCCAAAATCAAATTTTGGAATCTACATTTCTTGTCAGGGCTTTCTCTCGGGCGCCCGATTTCCACAATTTGAACTTTGCAAATCCAATCTTGTGTTGTTAATGCTATTTGATCGATGTTCAATCTTATTACCATGTTTGTTAGAAATATTTAACCAAGCAGTAGTATCTACAAGATAGCATCACTATTGAGTGAAAGTCCTTTCTTTTATGTGGTTGCATGAACATGAACAATTGAATTAGGATGAAAATGCAAGAACATATTGTCCTCCACATACTGAAAGTATATAATTTGTAATAAAAGTACAATAGCAATATTTGTAATGAAATTCAGAACATGCAAGAACATAGTTATCCCTAACTCAGTGAAACATAAGAAAATATAATATCCTCAAATCTGTCTGCTAGTAATAAAATTGAAATTTTAATTGAAAATAACAAGTTTAATTTTGTCCCATATTGATTTTCTCCTTTGATGACAACTAAAATCTGCAAGAAAAATTTAAAATGGGAAGAGGGAAAACATGATACCTTAGAAAGAGAGCAATATTTTTTTTCTGCAGGAAAGGATGATAAATTTGTGCTTTATGAGTAATGATGTTGATGAATAATGTGTAATAATGTGTGTATATATATATTATCTATATATAAAAATATATACAATACAAAGTAGACACGTTATACTATATAAAAGTACAGGTGTCTTCTTTAAAATTGATAGATTTGGCAGCCAATGAGATTGTGCCAAAAAAGAGAAAAAGTTATTGCATTTGATAGTAAAATTTAATGATGTATGTCAGAAAAAAGAAGTTATTACATTTGAAAGCATAATTTGAATAGCCTTTGGTCCAAGTTTGTTTTTCAGCTCCATAATTTTATTTTGTTATTATTAGATATATAAATTTGGAAATTGATAAATATGGAGTAGAAAATAAAAATGGCAGAAATCACTTATCTTTTTCAAGTATATGTATTGTGTATTTATCTTGAGTGATTGCTATGAAGTTGCAACTTCAACATTTCAAGTATACTTATTAGTGATACATATTTAAATATCGATTATTCTGTCATAGTAGAAGAGTGGGTATAACTATGTATCAACATGTTTGTTTGAAGTCATTTTTTCAACTTACGAAGGTTATTTTTGTCATTCAAACTCATACCTGTGCTTCAGTTTTATTCCACGTGGTAATGCATGGCATTAATGTCGCTGCTCAACTCCATCACATTGCTCTCATCTATTCATTGATGAAGAAGATGATACAAGTTTTGTCCTCCACAACCTTAGGCTTTCCATCTTCTCTTAGTACTGCTTCAAAATTTCAGGTAATTTTTCAGGTCTCACTTCAATTTTTGACTTACATTACTTTATTTCTCATCTTTGCCTTTTTTCCTTAATTGTGTTTTAGTTTCTGTTACTTAAAAATTTTATATGAGCTAATGAAGTTTGAATCTAATAGGAGTTGAAATTAGGCGGTTATACGCATATTGAGAGCCCACAAATTTGAGGTGTCTCATCAGTGTTTCCGATTCCTTGAGAAAGATTTAGAAAGAAAATTTGAGAAAGTGAAAATGATCTCTAAACACCGTAAGGATAACGTTGTAACCTTGCCTAAGAACATCACTCAATAACAAATTAGTATTTTTCTTCTACTGAAAGGTTTGGTTAGGATTCTAATTGACATTTATGTAAAGTTAGGTCCCTTCTATTGGTAGAATTTTACATAACCTACTGCTCGGCTGCTCCAACATCCTTGTACATATCCTTTTTACTATTACCACCATAAAAAGAACTCAACTTCTACACAGTCTTGATAAAATCTCGACAAAATATAAGAATTAAAAACAATAATAGGATACATGTAAAACAACTTTAGAAGACTAACAGGATTGAATTTTGTTGATTGAAGTATATAACAGCTAAAATCAATAACATAATGATAGTGTCGTATAAAAGAAACAAAAGTTCTGTACGCTGAACTCGAATTAAAAATTGGTTGTTCATTAGGTTCCGCGCCCCAACTATACAAGCTCTTGTGACAAAAACTCATGTCGTATCTATCACTCTATTGACAAAGTACCCAAGAGCTACCAATAAGCCTTTTAGGCAGGCAACAAAAATGGTAAACCTAGAATTCATATAATGGAGAATCTAAAGTTTCTTTAATTCCTGTAATTGGAATAATGTTGACATAATTCAGTACTTTGCAATTCATTAAGTTGTTGAACCAGCCAAATCAAATTAGTATGTAATACCTCCGGCATAACATCAAAACCATAGAAGTGGATGAGTTTGGGAAAAGATATGCACAATAAAACAAATAATAAAAACTTCACCTAGTGAATGGTTTTTACTTTCTTTTCTCTAGACTTCTGAAAACAAGAATTCATTTACTGGTATGTATATGTCGAGCATCTCAAAGGAAGAGTTTGTGCATATATTAATGTCAGAGCACTAAATTATCTTAGATAAATTTCAAAATACTCTGGAGCCAAAATGTACAAATGTGCATGATGGGAGGCCCGGAAGGGGCAGTAGCTCAGACAAAAGTGAGATAACACTTATCCCTCTCTATAGCATATGCATATCCTATATGGTCTTTTGTTTTTATCTTGCTTCGAATGTTATTTCAAATGAAATGTAACTATCATTCGAGGGAATAGTAAGACAATAAAAAAGATTTTCCCATTCAATGTCATTTGGCAATGATGATGATGAACCATGGAAGTAACTTCACGGTTGAACAGTATGTCAGGCTTTGTTGTGAAGACATAGTGCGAGTTCATTACTTTATCCTCTCCTCGGGTTCAGTTCAAAATGTACAGAGGCTGTTGATATACTTAAGCCGAACCTAAGACTTTTAAAATTTGTTGTCTACAAAAAATCTTAAACTATAAATCATTTTTTAATGTATTAAAAAAAACTCTAAAATTAAGTTACTGCTACTTTTAAATTGTTCACATAAATATATTCTGTGAACAGCAATGTCATACCAAGTAAATAATATAATGAAAACACACATGGCCAGTGCAATCACAAAATCGGCAACATTTTTACAAAGAGTCTTGAATTAACATACAACATAGGAAGGAAAACGATGGATGGACAACAGATAATAAGAGAGAAATGAACAACCTGAAATCTTCTGATATAATTATATTCACGTAGATCTCTCTGATGCCAGATCAAGCAACGTGCGGAAGAACTGTTGCGGATACAAGGGAGGTTGCTCTGAAAGTGCCTAAATACAACAAACACGATAATGTCAATCGTTGAAGTTTCACTTAATTCGAATTGCTCACTGAACCTTTTATATATATATATATATATGACATTGTATATAGTCTTCTTGCGGATAATTACAAATAGCATAAACTTGGTCCAAAATTGAAAATATATGTGGTCATTGAAGAAGAAGCAGATATATCACCTGATGAATCAAGACGGTGGAAGGAGTCATTCCTGGAACTGTATTCACTTCGATAATCAGTACCTGTGACCGCAAAACAACCATACTCCCAATTAAATCTTATAACACATCTGCAAATAGTTATCTGATTTACAGTAATTCTATCAATTGTATGGCATGTTAAGTGTTGCAGTTTGCAGAAATCCTTTTATTAAGTTCTGATCTCCTCAAGTTCTACTACTGAATTAACTCAACAATAAATATTGCCTCTAAAATGATACTTTGGCCCCAATTCAACCGCAAACGACCAGTTTCGACAGGTGATTCAACCTCTTATATTTATCTTGTATCAACTTAATTGGTTCTACAGGTATACAGAAATAGACCATAAAAGCGATACATACTTTGAAAATTTTAGTAGAGTACTACAGCCTTCTAAACCACATGGTAAATCTCTGTGCACTCGTATAATTAACATGAGTGTGTAATAATTATCTCAAGAGGCAGATCATGAACTGCAACTTGCTGGAAAAGACACATTTCCTTAATGATATTATTAACTATGAAGTATTAGATTCACTTCCATTATTGTTCAATCAATTGAAAAGAATCTCAGCAATAACATACCTCGCCAGTGTCAGCATGAACAAATGCATCAATACGCGAAAATCCTTCTAATTGTAGAGTGTTTGCAATAAGTTCAATACGCTTTTTACACCTTTCCAAGGCCGCACTACTAATTGAGAAGGGAAAAAAAGAAGAAAGCAATTGTGAGAAATATGTAGGTAATTTTGACACACAGAAAAGTACATCTTGTAAAGAACAATATTCTGGCTTTCTAAATAATTATATTTAAGTAGAAATGTATATTGACATAAATCTGGTAGTCATATCTAATACAGTTTCCACAGGATGAATCTTCATAACAAACCTCATAATAGAAGGTGGAGGTGGAGTCAGATTGATGCCAGTTATAACAACACGGTTTTTGGGGTCTTTTCCCCTTGTTGGGGCTGAAACTGTAGTAGATGAAGCTGAGATAAAAGGGGTTCTTTTGGGTCTCAATGGCTTTACATTGGTGAATTGGATAGCTTGCAAGGTTACCGGCGGAGAAGGAAAGATGTAGTTGGTGGAATTTCGATGACAACCATGTGGATGCAGGGGAAAGGCTTAAAACTACTGACAAATGTTCTATAAAATCACTATATATATATATATATATATATATATATATATATATATATATATATATATATATATATATATATAAACACAACTACTTGTCGCCCTACCAATATTTGAGTCAATTATCACCTTAATTCTGTGATAAACAGAAGCTTATATACAAGCTTATAAGTTGAGAAGATGAACAACCTTTGTTGAAGCATTCAAATTTGAAGAGCAGAAACAAAACACACCAAAATAGTCTCATGGCTACAAGAATCAAATCTGATGCTGCATGCAAGAACAAAACAATAATTTGTTCAAATTTAAGCTCAAAAAGATTGTTACCTGAGTTGTATTGTACACCTCTTCTTCTCTCTAATTTCTGACCACTATGCGATAAAACCTCTAATTTGTATTATCTGGACAGCAACATTGAAGCGAAATTTGAGGAGAAATGGAGATTAATTGAGAGGAATTGTGGAGGAGAAATCAATGTAGAAGCAAATGTGGAGGAGAAGTAAACAAGGAAAGAAGTAAAGTGGATAGACAATAGCGAAATTACCCATCTTCCCTTGTTCATCCTGCACAAATGTCCAAATTTAATGATAAAATTACATAATTATCCTTGTTAAATAAAATAAAATATATATTATATATTTAAAGTACAATTTAAATAGCTTTGGGAACAGCTTTTTAAAGCTGTATTTTTTGTCCTTAAAGTTGTGTTAGTCATATTTAAAGTACAATTTAAATAGCTTTGGGTACAGGTTTTTAAAGCTGTATTGGTCCTTTCAACTCCCTCTTCTAAATAAGGGATATATATATCATATATATATCATATATTATTATAAGCAGGAAGCTCAAACTTAAAAGTTGAATTACTATTTTGCCCCTCTAATAAATTAAAACTTTTATAATTTTCATATATATAATCTTCTTATCCTCATTCCATAATCTTGACCTTTCAAATTTCTAATACAAATGTAAATAAAAATAAAAATGAGTAATTATTCCTTATAGACAAGAAATTAAAGTAGATTCATGTATCTTTAAAATTAAATTTCATCTCTATCTTTTTTATATTTATTTTAACAATAATTCATGTGACTTTTCATGTTTCCATAATTTTGTTCTATAAATTTAACTTTTTCAGGAAAAACTTTTATTTACCACTCCTAAAATTCTTGGGTGTAGGAACTCTAAACATGTGAAATAATGTCACAATTTGAAGTGAAAGTTGTGAGATTCCCTTCTGCAATCACGAGAATAGACAAGAATTCAATCACTGAAGCATCGGAGCTTGATGTGTTAGTTCTATACTTATTTGTAGTAAGAATTATAATAAGACTTTTTTGTCTCTTTTCATATATTTGAATTCTTGTTTTATTAGCAAGTTGCTCTAAATTCATATTTATATTTTGTATGCTCAAATGTTCAGTTTCACTACAGAGACAAAAATAAAATGAAATGCCTAATAATCTTGCTCATCTGTACCTTTTTTTTTTTTACTTTGTACTTATAATTTTACATATACATTAATTTTCATCTTTAAGAATGAATATGATAAAATAGGATGTTTACTCTTTTCTTTTCTTTTTATGGAAAAAAAAAAGGTGAAACATATAATATTAGATTAATGGTAGATAAGTTATGTATGAAGAGAAAATTAAATTTTATATAAAAATATAGTAGTTATTCATAAATATTCTGATTTTCAAAATATAAATAATAAGACTTTTTAAATCATAATTTTAAATATTTATAGTTAACTAATTAGTTTAAAGTGTTTGTGGATAAAAAATTTAATACAATACTTTAAACACATTCATTATAATTATCAGGAGATTCAAAAGGCAAAGTAAAAAAGTTGAAAGGTTTTGTTTTCCTTTCACTCAAAGTTAATCTTACACTATTTTTTCTAACATTATTCTACCAATAAAACGGAACTATCGAGAAATTTAATTTAGAGAGTTGTTATTTTTCCTTTTTGCTTTGCAAACTTATTTTTGAATTATAAACGATTTTATTAATTTCTCATATTATTATCTCGATGCATTCACTAGGAGGTCAGAAAATTGGAGTGTCACAATTAGTAGTAAAACAAAGTAAGAAATCTCAATTAGACATATTTTATTATTTAGTAATATTATCTTTTAAGAAATAATACACTCATGGATTACACGCGCAAAGCGCGTGCTCGGAAACTAGTATATATATATATATATATATATATATATATAGGAAGCTCTAAAGTGTACCTTTTTGTCCCTACAATAAATCAAAATGTTAAAAGATATCTAATTAATTAAATACTAAAGATTAAACAATAATCTGATCATATTATATAGATTAATTAATACTAATGATATCATCATACGAAAAGACTTCATGGTAATCACTTTTTTCATTTGCTTTACTTGGCCAGCCAACGATATTTGCAACACACCAACATACTGTCGCATTATATTTTATAATACGAAATAAATATGATTCAATTAATATTTTCAACCAGATTAAAAGACTCATATAAGTAAATCAAATAAATGGTACTTATAAACGCCCTTATGAATTATATGTGCTGAATTAATTCTCTTAAGTAGATACAACTTCAACAAGACTACTTTATTCTTACAATAACTACTTGGTAGGCGTGAGGTATTTGCAACCATAAGTGGGGTTGCTCATATCCACACTACATATTTGTTGTTGAAATATCATGTAGGTCGAAGATTTGATAGAGTAAAAGCACTGCATAAGAAAATGTTATACAATTTGTTGACTCTGTACAATAACTAATAGGATACAATGCTGAAGGAACTTTTTTTCTTTCTTAAAACTAAGGGGATCATTTCAACTTCATTTCATATTAACTTTTGGAATGATGTATTTTGCGATGATAGTAAAATTGATTGTACTATTCATCAAATGAGCATGTATCCTTGACTTTCAATTTTGGTGTTATTTCTAGAACAATGTTTTAAGAAGTTTAAACTATTAGAATCGAATACACGTGTTACGCACGTATCCAAAACTAGTTTCTAAATGTAGATAAAGACTAGTTTAGCCAAGAACACAAGGAGGAGGACAACTTTAAATACCAGAAGCTCACCCCAGTCTTCGAATGTATAAACTGCTTCGAATGAGGCACATGTCAATGGGGAAAACTCATACTAGGAGTGAAGTGTAGTGTGATTACCAACAAGTGGTACTTAGTAGGCATAGACCGATCGAACTCCAAAGATAAAGCAAGTATAAATAGCATGTAATGAAGGAGCATAAAATACAAGTAACTAAACAAAAGAGAACACACAATAAAAGTAAGCAGAGGCAAGAAAAATAGACAAAAGAAGCAGGTAACTGAGACAGAGCAATACACCTAGAGGCGTTATCCCAATAACCTAATCGCAGTAATATCCAACTACCGAAGTCAACTAATTGAAGATATACCAAATGGAAGATGCATATAAATGTGACTTATGCACTAAGCCATCAATTCCAAATGATATATACACCTATCTCCTATCACAGGAACGTCCCATGAAATGAAGCTCCCTTCTCCTGTTTAGTGGGAAGGACCTATAGGGAAATCGAGAAGCCCATATACACATGCCAGGACTTTCACAATGAATCCTCTTGGATCTTATCCATCTTGGTACCAGAGATATATGTAACCAATTCAGTATAGAAAAGGTCGAACAATCAAGTAAAAAGGTGATACATCTCTTTATCTTATATAATAATAACATATTAAGATCAACACTACTTAGTAAACGAAGGGAATTATGAAGGATCAAACAATGGAAGAGTAACAAAAGGATCTCTACATTTATACGAAGGTACTACTCAAATGAACTCCTAATGCTAACCTACGACAAAACACGAATCTAAACAATGCGTTTAAACATAATGGGCAAAAAAGAGAAATTTTATTTATTATTTTAATAGAAGTACTCAAGAAGATTAGGAATTAACTGCATATTTTCTTTACTATACCTTTTTATCAAATAAAAATTAATAATTTACTCTAGTGTATCTCTTTCTTTTATGATAAATAAGTTAAACTTAAATAATTATGGGATCAGTATCTAGGTTTATCTAATCCGTATACGAGAGAGAATGAAAGAAGGAAAAATCATTAAGTTTATGCCATATATAATAGTTTTATCAAAATAAGTTGTATGATTGAAAGGTCGCTATTTTAACCTAGTTCGTGAAGTTTCCATCTTTGACTAAATTCATAGTGATAGTTAATCAAGTTTCACTATCAAGAACAAGAAAAGGCTCAATTTTTAAGTTAAGCTAGTTTATTCTTACAATTTTCATGTCCATTATTGTATCGTTTTCCCCTTATAAACGCTATAAAAAGATAAATTGGTAATAAGGAAAAATGAAAAAATGAACTAGTGTAAAGTTTCAACTTGGTTAGTAGGTAGCAAACTTTAATAAAGTCACAAATGACTAATTAATTTGAGCTACAATGAAAAGATAAGTTCATTAAATCTATTCCTTGACCCTATTCCACCTGAAAATATTGGAAGAAGTATAAAGTAAACAGTAGTTTATTTTGTTCATAACCACTTTCTCGATCCAGAAAAATGCTTGTTTTGGAACCATCTAATGTCTGTATCAAAATCTTTGTGGGGATGAAGTATTTATAAGTCAAAAGAATATGAAAAGTTATACAGAAATATGAACTTTGTAATTCATTATCAAATACTATCATAACATTGTTTCTTTCTATATATCTATACTTATTTATGTACAAAATTTAAATTTTATTATTCATCTCATAGGCAATCTTCTTAGCAAAAATTAGAACAGTTGCAAGTCCTTTATATTTCTTAAGACGGAAATTTAGACCTCTTGACTATCTATTGAAATTAAAATCAAATAAATTATAATTACCAACTTATTATATAAACTACATTTTCTTAAACTTAAACCAAAAAAAGA